TAAAAATAATTATATAATATTCTATATATTTTACGTGTTTCATATAGTGATATATATTCCTTTCTAAATATTTAATAATAATAATAATATAATAGTCTATACATTTTATATGTTTCATATAGTGCTATATATTGCCTTCTAAATATTAAAAAATAATAATATATTATTCCATATATTTTATATGTTTCATATAGTGCTATATATTCCCATCAAAATATTTAACAATAATAATACATCTATTACATAATGTTATATATCCTATATACGTGGAAGGAGCAATAACAATAAAACAGTAACATATCCAAGAACCAATTTTCTTCATTTCCATAATAAATCAGTCCGTTATTTATCATTCGACGCTCGCAGACAATAAAAAAAAAAAAATTACGAAAGAAAAGAAAGTGAATAAGTAATATTATTCGGTATACATGTAACATCAAAGAAATACAGTACTTCCGCGTTACCTGGCCGCCGCTGCCCCCACCACTTCCCGTTGTTATCCTGACACCCAACGTGTTTGTTTTAATAGAGTACCGACAGTAGGACCTCGATATTTCGTGCCAGGTATCCGTATTCCGCTGGAAGAGTGGCAATTCCTAGAACTCTACCTTCCTCGATAACTGTCCAGATATAGTCCCGTACTACGGTCAGCTAACGCGGCAAAACCGAGTATACGAGCCTGGCATGTGAACAATACTATTCACTACTATTGAATACTGTTGAAAGATGCATCATCTCGAGACACATTCTGCACCTTATAATTCTCACACGAACGAACGCCGTTTGTGCTCAAAGTGCCAATCAGAGACAGGCCCAGTCGCGCGTTTAAGTTCAAAATGACCTACAGGCACTGTCATTTCGATCCACGTTTCCTATTAACCCTTTGCACTCGACGATTTTTTGGCCAGAGAAGAGTAGAAAATCAAAGATTCTCTACCAAAAGACTGACGATACATTTTTGAGTAGTAAATAAAGAAATGTACAATAACAGAATTGTAGAATTATTTGATTTCGATACCTCGAACACTGCTACGTTACATTAAATTTGATATATCGATTAATATCGATCTTCCAAATTTTATGAAATGGTGATTGAAGCTCAATTTTTGATTGCAAGGGGTTTATAGTTAAAAACATCCCTACATATCCTGGCCAAAGGTCCTCTGCCCACTTTGCTCAGGTTTCCCTATTATAATTTCGAGTATAATTTCGTTCCCCGAAATTGCCAAGAAATTAGGAAAATGTTAAAATCACTGTCAAAGTCTCTACCAGGTCGTAGGCTACCTCGTTAAGTCGGTTTTTCGAAATATTTTTCAGTAGTGACGAAAATTTGGAGAGAAAGAGAGAGAGTTGCCTACAGAGGTCTGAGAATAGGGCAGGATATTTTATGAAACTTAATTATAGCTTTATTTATGACCCATTGGCACTACTTTAGGGACCAGTGGGTTCTCAATAATAGGAAGAATAATTGGTTCGACTGTTCGAAACTCGCGACGAAAATTTTGATCGCTTTTTGGCACTTGGCTAACCGAGCACCTAGTCTAGAGTATCATTGGAGTGCCTGGGTATGACGTGTACGTTGTACACGCGCGTTTCTTTGCTTATGAGGGAGGGCGTGCGAGATCCAGGTGAAGCGGAAGGATTAGGCGAATAATCGATCGGATCTGTACGCAGGTGATCATGGGAGACAGGCCAGCAGCAGAGAGGGCGTGCAAAGACCCCAACCCCATAATCGACGGTCGCAAAGCAAACGTCAACCTGGCGATTCTTGGAGCTAAGCCCAGGGGTAATCTACAAGCGAGTAAGTTTGCTCAGCAATATGCAAATGAATGAATATGAATTGTGTGAAGTATCGGCAACGGATTCGGCAATTGTTGGTGTTTGATCTTTTGTCGCTTTATGCTTCTCTCATGTTTCCATCAATCTGCCTTGCTACTCATGCTATTAACTCTAATTCCTGAGCTATTTTCTCCTCGGTGTTCCTTCTTTTCGTGTCAATGTTCGTATTTATGCTTGGTATTTCAGGTCTTGCGACTAGGCCTTGCTCGATGACAATCCGATTTTCCTGACTGCTCCGAAGAAGTATAAATGGTTTTTATTCGGGAATACTGTTAGATTTGGGTGGAATTTTTGGAGTATCGCAAGTTGGAACAATTGTTTATTTGATTGGATGAGTTATGCGAGTGTCCAGAGAGTTTCGATTCGACGTATTGGGAAATTTTCCGGAATAGATGACATTTCTGATCTTTCAGCTGATTTTTGCGCGTCACTGTCACGAGTTTTACGTTGTTGAAACATGGCCAAAACAGCAAAACCCATTCGTCGCAGTAGGATAATATATACTTCTTGGACGAAGAATTATACTTCTGCTTGATATATCGAGGACACGTGTTCAAGTTACCAATGGAAACTCATTGCGAAGGTTCTCCTAATTAGACAGTTAATTTGGATATTAACGCTAGAACCACTGACCTGTAGCTAAACGTGAATGATAATAATCGAAATAGCATGATGAAACTATATGCTGAAATCGCAGAGATGCTCCTGACAAAATTAAAATTGGCTTTTGTTTAGATAGATTTTTTATTTTCCTTTATATCTGAATGCTTGGATCTTTTATTGTTATACAGTTTTATGTTTATAAATGGAATTATTCATAGATGTTGTGAATTTGTTAAAATTAATTAATTTGCTAGAAGTAGTTATATATTTTCAATAATTTTATTAGCTAAAGTAAAAAGTCAGAAACCAAACATTTTTAGTAGAATATTTCCATTGTCAAATAAGAAATTCTGCATACTGTTGTGGATATACAACAGTCAAAATTAATTTTGTCAATTCAGTAATTTTAATAGAAATGCAAGAAGTCAGAGACCATTCATTTTTAATACAATATTGCCATTGTCAAATTAGAAATTCTTCATACTGTGTTGTACACATACAATAGTTTGTCAATTTAGTTACTTTATTAGAAATACAAGAAATCAGAAACCATTCATTTTGACTAGAATATTTCTATTGCCAACTAAGAAATTCCTCATACTGATACACACATACAACAGTCAAAATTAATTTTGTCAATTCAGTAATTTTATTAGAAATACAAGAAGTTAGAAACCATTCATTTTTAATACAATATTACCATTGTCAAATAAGAAATTCTTCATACTGTGTTGTGCATATGCAACAGTCAAAATTGATCTTGGCAATTCAGTAATTTTAGTACAAATACAAGAAGCCAGAAACTATTCATTTTTAATACAATATTGCCATTGTCAAATTAGAAATTCTTCATACTGTGTTGTACACATACAACAGTTTGTCAATTTAGTTACTTTATTAGAAATACAAGAAATCAGAAACCATTCATTTTGACCAGAATATTTCTATTGCCAACTAAGAAATTCCTCATACTGATATACACATACAACAGCCAAAATTAATTTTACCAATTCACTAATTTTATTAAAAAGTAAAAAGTGAGAAACCATTCATTTTTACTAGAATATTTCCATTGCCAACTAAGAAGTTCTTCACATTGTTATACACATACAACAGTCAAAATTAATTTTGTCAATTCACTAATTTTATTAAAAATATAAAAGATGAGAAACTAATCATTTCTACTAGATTAATTCCATTGTCAATTAAGAAGTTCTTCACATTGTTATACACATACAACAGTCAAAATTAATTTTGTCAATTCAGTAATTTTAGTAGAAATGCAAGAAGTCAGAGACCATTCATTTTTAATACAATATTGCCATTGTCAAATTAGAAATTCTTCATACTGTCTTGTACACATACAATAGTTTGTCAATTTAGTTACTTTGTTAGAAATACAAGAAATCAGAAACCATTCATTTTGACTAGAATATTTCCATTGTCAACTAAGAAGTTCTTCACATTGTTATACACATACAACAGTCAAAATTAATTTTGTCAATTCAGTAATTTTATTAGAAATACAAGAAGTCGGAAACCATTCATTTTTACTAGAATATTTCCTTTGTCAACTAAGAAATTCCTCACACTGATATACACATACAACAGTCAAAATTAATTTGACCAATTCACTAATTTTATTAAAAAGATAAAAAGTGAGAAACCAATCATTTTTACCAGATTGAGTCACTTGTTAATTAAAAAACACAGAATTCCTGGCAAATTTGCAAAGTTCTTCATAAGTGATCACCCTGATTCTTCTGCAATTGTTTAAGCTCGTGCTTTCGATTTCGTTTCGTTTTAAATCCGAGGCTTTGGAAGAG